AGTGTTTGTAGCACTGTATCTCCTTTCAAGTTTCCACTTCCATATGGGATCGTCTGCTCAAGAAAGGCTCTGTGCTTTCCAGCGTGTTTCCTGTTTTCCTTGGGAGAGCTCTGTACTGTAATCATTTTTCCATTCCAAGTTCCCCTGGACTGATTTGCTTAACTGTTCTGACGCCTTCCCTGGGTCTAAATTTGCACCCCTGCCATACAGTTTCATCATTTGCTTCATACGGGAAAGGAACACATCACTTCTGTCTCATCCCAATCATTTCTCTCTACTCTGTTTATCTGAGCACTTGCCACGTTTTTCCAGACCTGAGATCCAAAGCCTTAGTTTGGGTTTTCTAGTGTTTGGATGGATGTCAAGATGATTTATAAAGCGCTCATGCCCAGTGCCATGGGCCAATGATACCATCGGTCGAGCAGCTTATCAGCTGCTTACCCAGCCTTGCTTATCGGTTAGGACCACTGTGAGATGCAGCTCATTCTGCATGTTCTCAGCAAGGCTGGTTTACAAGCCAGTCAGTCAGTCATTCATGGTGAGCATCGCTTCGGCCATGTTAGCGCAGCTTGCCTTTGGCACTGTTTTGATTTGTAGACCGTGGTCCCCTGTAATTAAATTCTGTCAGTGTTGCATGAATTATTTTATCTAGTCATATTTAATTTACCTCCTTCTCTTTTGGCACTCTCCAGTGATCTCTAGGCCTCATCCTGTAGATCTTTTGTCTATTTCTGAAGCTAAAGCGAGACTGATTACACATTGGGCTTTTAGGTACTCTGTACTGCTCCTTACAGCAGATAAACGCATCTTGTTACCAAGCAAACTTTCTTCTTCCGGTGTGATTCTTAAGGGCTGTCCAATCATGAAAGCCGCTTGAAGATGCTAAGTGTCCCCTTAGACCAATGGTTCTCAACCAGAGTTCCTTTGTCCTCCAGGACATCTTTGGCAATTTCTGGAGACATTTTTGATGGTGTTCCCTTAAAATGATTTATTTAATTTTGTATATATGTGTCTGAGAAAATCTATGTGCACCACATGTATGCAGGAGCCCACAGATGTCAGAAGTGAGTGTTAGATTCCCCCTGGAACTGGAGCCCCAATGCGGGTTCTGAGAAGCCAAACCTAGGTTCTCTGCAAGAGCAGAAAATACTCTTAACAGCTGAGCCGTCTTCCAGCGCCATCATTTAATTGTTTACAACTGGAGGTTGGGTGTTCCTGGAATCTAGTAGGTAGAAGCCAGGGTGGCTACTAAATTTTCTACATTGTGCATGGCAGATCCTGCGACAACAAGTTATATATCTTCAAAATACAACAGTGTTGGAGTGTCTGAAGGACCCAAAGCCTGGGGCTCAGTTTCTAGAAGGGTCTGCTGTAGCCATTCTCCAGCTAGTGAAGGGATGGTGTGGCTGTCCAAGGGCAGAGAAAAGGAAGCGAGCTATGTTGTTTTTTAAAAGCCATGAAAACAGGTTTTATTCAAAGCGAGTTGGGCTCTCCATCGCCTCTGTGATCTCTGTCTGTTCCCTTCCCCTCCTGCTTTTATCATTCTTTCCTACATCTTAGGGATAAACAGCCCTCACCTCCACCCCACATGAAGCATCAGAGCTCCTGATGTCTGAGAAGAGAGGCTGAACCAAGCAGTGAGGTAATTTACTGAGCACTTGAAGTTCCTTCCAGCTAGCGTAGAAAACTGGGAGAACAGGAAGGTTAAGGTGGATTGGCCAATGGGGCAGTTGGGCTAAGCTGGTAGCAGTGGGCAGAGGGAGGAGCTGGCCTGGCTGAGGGGGTCCATCTATTCCCTGCCTGTGTACTGCATTTGGAGGGAGTTAAGAATAAGAAGGCATCATACTAATGCCTGTTCTGCAAAAGTCTTCACTGGAGAACTGAAAGGCCGCTGGATCACATATTGAACATAAATGTCGGGGCTGAAGCCCGGCAGTCACTTCAGGGTCTCTGGGGCACGTCACAAGTGAAGGCCGAGAAGGAGCGAGGATCATTCATCTAGTCATGGACTCTGACCAAGTGAGGTCTGCTAGCCTCAGCCAGGGAGGTCATTCTAAGGCAAGACGGAAAGAAAAATAGATCGAGAGTGAGAGTCAAAGCCCGTCAGAGAGCCAGTATGCAGCTCTCCTCAGCAGAGGGGTGGGGGCCAGGCCCACTGGACAAGACCAGCCTCCTTCCAAGACAAAGAATCCATCTGTTTCCTGCATTTTTCAGACTTGGCCTCCAAAGGAGACTTCTCAGGAGAGGGAGAGTTGAATCGAGGCCTCATCTGCTGGCTCTGCTTTGGGGAGAAGGAAAGCCATAGCACACTGTAATCTCTTACTGTCCATCCTGCCAGAGACGGTGGGAAAGTCCAGCTCTAGCCCCTCCAGAGTACTTGGCTCATAGCCTACTTAGAAATCCACAGGAAACTTGACAAAGACCGTTCTGATTACGGTCCCATTACAACCCTTGAACTCAAACAAGCTGGCAATGGACCAGACCTCTCTCCAGAAAATCAGTTCTGAATTTAGAATCAATTTTCTTCTTTCTTTCTTTCTTTCTTTCTTTCTTTCTTTCTTTCTTTCTTTCTTTCTTTCTTTCTTTCTTTCTTTCTTTCTTTCTCTCTTTCCCTCTTTCTCTGTCTGTCTCTCTGTCTCTGTCTCTGTCTCTGTCTCTCTGTCTGTCTGTCTGTCTGTCTGTCTCTCTCTCTCTCAGGCCTGAATGGTTTAGATCAATTTAGAGTAAAGCCTGGGAACATGCTTTTCTTTGAATTCAAGGAGTCGGCTGCCATGTTCCCTGGGTAATCCAAGCATGAAATTCCCACATTCTTTCATCTAGAGAAAATGGTTTCAATCTCTCTCACCAGAGGAGACACAGTTCTTTTATTGTCTTCTTTATAGTGCCTGAGATGTAGGAGGCTTTCTGTGTGCTCAAGCTCATTCCTGTCAATCCAATCGGGCCATCCCCATTGGTATTACAAACTTTACATTCAAATGAAAATATTCTTCCACTTTGGCTCTGAGTTTACCTGGAACATATAAAATTGACTTTAAGCCTTTTCTCTAGCTGCCTCTACCAGGCTTCCTACTTGGTCAACCTGAGCCCCATTGTATTTAGGATTACGGAGTGTGGTTCAGGAAGGTGACAGACCAAATCAAGAAGAATCTTTGCTTAGACTGACAGCAGAATCCACCAGACTCTGGCCCCTCTGTAGACTTCTTTGGAAAACTACCAAATTCACTGGTATAAGGGCAATAATACACTTTCTTCAGTTGGTTCACAGGGTACGTGGGTAGAGCTAGAGGGTCCGTTCTTTAAAACCATATCAATTCAAATCCCCTTTCTGAGGCTCTGAGACATTTAGGCATAGATCACTCTCTGTTTATTTGAGAGGTAAATGTTTCTCTTCTTCTCCCATCACATCTCTGGTCTGGAAGAACAGGAAGAGAATAAGAAACTCCTTTGTGAAAGGAGAGGGGCTGAGAGGTATCACCCATGAAAACTCACTAGCGGCAGGGTGGTGGGAAGGACTGACGGACTTTTAAGGACGGAAATGCTTACAACTGAGAAAACTCATTGAACTCCTAGTGTTGTGGTGTGAACATCCTGTCCTCTGGCTGCCTCTTCTCCATGCCTGCCAGTGCTCCAACACTTTAAGAAAACCCAGTTTTATCCTCAAATGCCTGGTCAATGGTATGGTTGCCAACAAAAGAGAGGGAGACTTGTCTCCATATGTTGGGGCAGAAAGCTGAGAACAGCTGCGAGAGTCAAAATGTGAACGAGACCAGGAATTTACAGGGCAAGCAAATGAAAACCAGCAGCGCTTCTGAGAACTCAAGACGCCAAGAATTTGCAAACATCCCAAGGAGGTCATTGTATTTTTGTTCCACTCGATGAAAAGCTCCAATAGGCAACTGTAATATCTGGGTTGTTAAGCATTCGTGCCTGTAAGATAGAACCAGACATCTCAGGACCCTACATGCCACTCTCCAGATGGAGCCCATTCCAATCATTCATTGAATAAATGAAGACCAAGTGATTTGTGCCAGAACCAGTGGGTTATGATGGTGAATAAGATAAACAAGGGCCCTAACTTAATATAGTTGACATTAGTGTGGGGAAAGCAGGAGAAAAGGGGGGTGAGAGCTGATAAACATTTAGTCATATAAAGGGAGAGTAAGGATAGTTTCTATCCCACGTTGATAACAGGGTACTTTTAATAGAAAATACTAGAGTGAGATATTGTAGGTAGCCAGTGAAGTCACTAGAACAAATGAGGTTTCTTTGAAACCTAAAGGCTCAGAAAAAATTCTCTACAGATTGAGCATAGGGAAGAACATTCCAGGGAAAAGCTGCAGGCACAAAGACCCCAAGGGAGAAAGAGACAGGAAAATCCCAGAAATTCATAGAATTCCCATGACTAAAACTTAATTGAACAGTTAGAGTTGTGAGTGAAGATTTTAAGTTGGATAATGCTATTCACGTTTTTTTTTTTTTTTTGGCGGGGTGGGGGGGTGTCAGGATCAGAATTTAGACATTCTTTTTCTTTAAAAAAAATATGTTTCTAATTGGGCTGAAGAGATGGCTCAGAGATTAAGAGCAGTGGCTGCTCTTTGAGAGGACCCTGGTTCAATTCCTAGCACCCACATGGCAGCTCACAACTGTCTGTAACTCCAGTTCCAGGGAATAAGAAACCTTCACAAGACATACATGCAGAAAAACCACCAATGCACATAAAAAATTATAAAAATGAGTCATTAAAATCTTTTTAAAAAGAAAAAAGTTTTTAATTTTAATTGAAATAGAATTATATCACTTTCCTGTGGTGATATTTTATTTGTGTGTTAATAAATAAAGCTTGCCTGGAGATGGGGAAAAGGCCAGCCATTTTAAGTAAACAAAGAAGTCAGGCAGCACACACCCTTAATCCCTTAGGGCTGTTCAGGAAGAGGAAGTGAGGTAGCTGGGCTAAGAGCCAATGAGCGGGCAGAAAAGCAAGGCATATAAGCCTGGGTAGACAGGAAGTCGCGCTCCTTGGAAGCTGTGGAGTTGGTGAGGTGAGGTTAGCTTGTGGCTTTCCGTATTTCCGATCTCTCTAAGGCTTTAACCCACATTTCTGGCTCCGTGTTTTTATTTAATAAGACCTTTTAAATACACATTGGCCCTCCCCTTCCTCCCTCGGCTATCAAATGAGACTGAGAGTGGGTGGCTAGTGGGTGAAGACCAGAAACAGGGCTCTCGTGCAGGCTGAGAGGGAACAGTCAGAGGAACAACAGGGTGCCCGATTTCATCAAAAGCCATTATGAAGTCAAAAAGGTGAAAACAGAAAACATTCCCTGGGTTGTCAGTGTGGAGACTGTAGGGATCACGACAAAGACGGGTTGAACAGAGAAAAGAACGGAACCCAGGGTGAGAGGGAGTGTGTAATGGCTGAACAGGAACAAGGGAGTACAGACAGAGTGAACAATGCTTTCTAAGATGTTTTGAGTATATGGTAGGAGCTGGGGGTGGGGGCTGTCAGGTCAGGGGAAGGTTTGTATTTTTCATCTGTTTACTAAGTGCATGATGATAGAGTATGTCTGTCGAGTATTGGAATGGTCCAGAAGAGGAAGCCCTGACTCTGAAGAGGAAAGGGCGAGCCCCGGAGAAAGTGCTGGGTTGCAGCTCAGACCGAGACCAACCTTCAGGAAGCACGTCCCACCATGCAGAGTGGGAAGAATCCAGGCAGAGGCAGGCCTTGCCAGGATGGTCTTACTGAGGAACAAGGGAGGGTGAGGACCAAGTGCCTTTATTTCTGCTGCACGAAGACTCCACGTTGACCAAAGCCAGCACAACCAGGATGCTCTGGTCCATATGGATGTTACCAGCTGAGAGGCCAGTGAGGAGGAGTGAGGGTTTTGAGCAGCAAAAAGGTGACAGAGAAGAAGGACAAGTTGGGTCTCTTTATTTAGCTCTCCATCTTTCTCTGACTCAAGAAGAAATATTTCCTTTTTCTACTTAGCCTTTTGATTTTACTGGAGAATCCCAGAGGACTTGTTTGAGTCTGGGGTGTTTCCACACTGTGCACTGAGTGACACCTTGGACCGACCAGACTCAGGCCATCTGGGCTAAGGTGGCATTTACCCACACAAGCAGGTTTTTGATGCCGGGAGGCCCTAAATCCTCCCTCCACAGGTCTCTGTCGGGGCAGGGAGGTGTTGGTCAGAGCCAGGCTGTTGTTGAGAAAAGACATTCTGTAACCGAGGAGAAAGGAATTGGATGGGCTTGTGTTCAACCTCAAATGCAGGGATAGGAGCAGAAAGGATCCCTGGAAGTGGGTGAGAGTCATTGGTGAGAGCTTTGTTTCAAGGGCGTGGCCAACATACGATTCTGTGCTCCAGCAAAGAAAATGAAATAAAATCATACCTGGATCTGGAAAGGAGCTGACTTGATCTAGACTTTTGTGCATGACAATTTCCTTAAGATGCCACAATCTGGTGAGGTAGGCTTTCTCTCTGCCTTCAATCTTATAGGTAGCCAGACTTAGGAAGTTCATGTCTAAGGTTGCCTAACTAGTAAATAGATATCTGGAATGTTAGCCTGAATCTACCTGACACCATGCCTCATGTGTTAGAATGGTAAGCTCCCGGGTGGGCCTTCCATGAGCGGACACTGGTTGAAAAGACAGGTCAGCTGTAGTAGGAAGTTGTTCTGGTAACAGTTCACTAGGTGAGGTGTGTTGTGCTAGGATTCAGCCTGAGTAGCACGGTGGCCTGCTTCCTCCATGAGTCCTGAGATGATGTCTTTCTTTGCCTGGCTTTCTGTGTGATAGAGTTCGTAGACTTCTTGATGAGCTCCCAGAGAGTCCTTGAATTGTGGGACTAAAGAGGAGGCAGAGTGGAGAAACCCATAAGAAAGATTCACTTATTCATTCTTGGTTGTCCGCTTGACTACATCCGGAATTAACTAAAATCCAAAATTCGAGGGCACACCTGTGAGGGTGTTTGATTAGTTTGAAGCAGGAACACCTGTGGTGATGTATTTATTTTGGACAAAAAAGGGGAAATGTGGTGATATTTTGTTGTGCCCTAATATAATTTGCCCGAGGATAAGAGAACAGAACAAGCCACTAGATTAAACACAGAGGCCAGGCAGGGGTGGCACACACCTTTAATCCTAGCACTCGAGAGGCAGAGATCTTTCTGGATCTCTGTGAGTTCAAGGCCACACTGGGCTACATAAGATTGATCCAGTCAATGAGAGAAACAGAGCCAGGCAGTGGTGACACACACCTTTAGCTCCAGTATTTGAGAGAAGCACATGCCTTTAATTCCAGCACTAGGAAGGTTGAGATAGGAAGTGACATGCCTCGGCGGAGAAAGGCATGTAAGGCGTGAGGAGACAGGAACTAGATAGCCTTTCCACTAAGGACTCAGAGGCATTCAGTCAGAGGACCTGTGGAGTAAGCTAGGTGAGAAGTGGCTGTGGCTTGTTCCTTTGTCTCCTCTGATCCTTCAGCATTGACCCCAGTATCTGGCTCCGGGTTTTTGAAAGATCATTTAGGATTCGTGCAACAAAGACCCACTTTACTCCAGATCTTGAGGCAAGAAGACACATGCCTTTAATCTGGAACTTGAGGCAGGAGGACACACTTTTAATCTGGGCCACACCTTCTGCTGGAAGCCTGTATAAGGACATGGAAGAAGGAAGCTTTGCTCTTCGCCTGCTTGCCCTCACCTTGCTAGCAAGTCCATTCCTTCACTGGCATTACAGTCTACTTCTTCAGGATTCCAGCATCCACTGAAGACCGCCTGAGGCATCCAGCCTAGTAGAATGAGCAACTACTGGATTCTTGGACTTTTCATTCACAGCCAGACATTGTTGGATTAACTGGTCTGCAGCCTGCAAATCATTCTAATAAATCTTATATACTTATATAAGTATATATATAATTCATTCTATGAGTTCTGTTACTTCAGAGAACCCTGACTAATACAATGTGCCTGTGGACAATAGACACCTTGCTCATTATTTCTGCCCCCTCCCATTTCAGTGCCTTCCACCTCCCTAGCTGTCACACTGTGCTGACAGCGGGCACAGCCACCCTTGCAGCCAGCTGGACCGGGTGAAAGGCCTCTCAGGAGTCACCACACTTCACAAGACTTAGCCATGCAGAGCACATCCTCCAGTGTTTACGCGTTGAATAGTTTATGATTTGCTCTACATCTGATCAGGCAGCCAACGACCAAAACTGCTGATCCGTGGAAACTTCACAGCCTTTCCGGGCATGATAATGGCTACAGCTACAGCTTATTCAAAGAGAGAAATAGCCTTTGATGAGCTGGGCAAGGGCAAATTAAGACGTGACTCTCGCCCAATATCTAGAGTGGCCTGCTGCTGCAGGCTTTACCTGAGAAGAAAGGGGGCCAGACGTGAGGAAGGCTGCAGCCACACCCTCCTAAGCAGCAGGGAAGGGCCAGGACTAAAGCCAGGCATTTCCAAGAGCGGTCCATTTCAGGAGGGAGGGAGCATTCTGCAGGGGCCACTCCGCCATCTTTTCTTCCAATCTATGGCACAGGTGAAGAATAGCCCCTCGAATTTCCATTATTTCTCTAATATTAATGGAGAACTCTTTCATTCGTAGGGGGAGTGCTGACTAATTGGGATAGTTCTATATTTCATACCTCTTCTAGTTGGATGTTGTCACGAGTCTTAAGTTCAGGGTGATGGGATGGAAGTAGAACTGTCTAGAGAAAGTTCTGAGAAAAGTCTTCATTTTTTCTTGCCGACTGGAATGTGGACATGATGAGTGGAGCCTGGGCAACTGTATTGAACCATGAGGTGGAAACCATTATTCAAATTATATAGAAGACACCATTCAGACAGAAGGAGGCTAGGTTATTAAAGTTTGCGGCATCAGGCTACCATTGAAAGTGTTATTAGATGAGCTATCGGTCATCTCTTTTTGGCACTCACTAATATATTGTATATATAACTTTGTCTAGGTGCCTTCACATGTCCCTAATGACCCTTAGCAAGCCAACTGTTTACTAAACAACCTTACCAGTAGATGAAGCAACAACCTTTCCACCATTAGGGACATGGATTTCGGGGCACCGTGGGGCCCGGCTGTCTTCAATCACTTTCTTCCATCCATCGCCTGGTATGGGAAATCTCATTTAGTCGCGTGCCTTTTGCTCCTCTTTGGTCAAACTGAGTTCCTATTTTCCAGGGCCTGAAGTTCACCCCCTTGTGAGTTTCTCGAGCTTCTTGTCCTCGACATGTCTGAAAGTCAGCTCACTCTCCCTCTTCCTCCGGAGCACTGGACCTGTCTGTGAGTGTTAGAGAACACCCCCCACACCCCATTTTGGCACACCACTCCCCCTAGGCAAGAAGTCCAGAGGCCAGAGGATGTCCCCATCCAGATGCCCACTGAGGTTCCTGTCCAGATGGTCTCCAGTTTGTTTTACACCCAGAATTTGGGTGTGAGGGGGTAAGCTGTCTATTCTTCCTATTGCCTATCCTTGCAAGGCCAAAGACTGGGGCTGATTCTGCTGTCTACACAATCTGATATAAAACCCAGAGGAATCCAATAAATTACAACTTTACCTTGGGCCTCAAGGACACTATGAAGGTGTATTTGTCAAAGTGAAAGAGTAGGACATGTTTTATTTAACATTATCTTGGCTGAATGTATACCTTTAAAATATTTAGACTCATGGTATGTGAGCTTCTGTTTGGGCTTCCACCCAGAATGCTCCATATGTCACTGTCTGGGGTATAGGGGCTTGTTTGCCTCTCTGTGTGTGTGTGTGTGTGTGTGTGTGTGTGTGTGTGTGTGTGTGTGTAAGGCCAACTGAGCTAGGACTGGAAGATGATTGGCCAGATGCTGCGTACAGACAGGAAGTGGCCCTCTTTCGGGAAGCTGGGACACCGCAGGCGGAAGGGTGAGATTTTAGCTCTGAGCTCTGACCTCTCGGCTTTCTCTTTTACATTGTTTCTGTGTTTCTTATTTAATAAGACGGTTGGTTACATCTACAGTAGCGTGTATGTTTTCAGGATTGACCATTTGGCACTCATAACCAATCCGTGTGCTCCTTCCTGAGGAAGACTTTGCCTTCACTCAGTATTTCTTAGTTGCCTGTAGTTCTTTGTGTAGGGTCGAGGCCTCAATTCCCATTGGTGTATCTGTTGATGCTGTTCTTGCTCAGCTTTATACTTAGGCAGGCATGTTGGTGAGACTATGGATGTAGCTTCTGACATTCCTAGAAGACACACTCTCACAACAAATTCTCTGATATGGTGGCCTTTTTTTTTTTTGTAAAGATGACTTTACAATCTTTATTCACCTCTTCCTCAATGGTTGCTGAGCCTTAGGCACAAGAGTTGTATTGCAGATGAACCCATTGGAAATGGGAGCTACAACTCAGCTTGGATTGGTTGTGGTTTTCAGTAATGGTCTCTGTTGCAAAGAGAAGTTTTCCTGATGAGGGATGAGGACTACACTTATCTTTGAGTATAAAGACAAATTTTTAGAGTGTATTTAGGGGTTATGCTGATTTAGTAATGTGGTGGTTGTAGGTTCTTCTCCAAAATCCATGATTTCACTAGCCCCGGGTAGCAGGCTAGATTTCCAGTTCCAGGCACTCTTTTCCCCTTGTTGAACAGGCAAGTAGAGAGTTCTTGGGTCCCACTAACATCTAAGCACCACTACTACATCTTCAGGGTTATTGTGCCATGCTGGTTGTTGTGGTGGTTCATAGGCATCATAGATGGATAGGGATGTTGGTTGCTTCCCCTCTCTGGGAGTTTGAGGGCACTTTTTGGTCCCATGAAAGCTGGTCCTCATGCAAGAGGCATTCATGTCAGTTCCAGCTCAAAAGCCTCTGGATCCTGTGTCTGAAATGCATAGTGTCTTCAGCAATAGAGACTTAACCTTCTACCTCTGGGGGCCTACCAAGGGCAACAGTGAAAGCCTGTAATATTTTGGGAGTCTCTTGGACAATCCTGACCAACAACTCAAAAGAGGGTTTCTCATACCTGATGTTGGAGTTTTTTTTTTTGTTTTTGTTTTTTTTTTTTGGTTTTTTCGAGACAGGGTTTCTCTGTGTAGCTTTGCGCCTTTTCCTGGAACTCACTTGGTAGCCCAGGCTGGCCTCGAACTCACAGAGATGTTCTTCGACTCTTGGAGGAAACATTATCAATTCATATGGGTAATTTTCATTTAAGCTATATGTATATTTATATACAGAATCATAAGTATTTGTGGTGATATCGTGTCCCCCAATATATTGTGCACCCTAATAAACTTATCTGGGGTCAGAGAACAGAACAGTCACTAGATAGACATAGAGGCCAGAAAATGGTGGCACACACACCTTTAATCCTAGCATTCCAGAGGCAGAGATCCATCTGGATCTCTGTGAGTTCAAAGCCACACTAGAAACAGCCAGGCATGGTGACACATATCTTTAATCCCAGGAAGTGATGGCAGGAAGCAAAAAGGTATTTAAGGTGTGAGGACCAGGAACTAGAGCCTTTTTAAGCTTTTAGCTTTTAGCAGCAGTTCAGCTGAGATCCATTCGGATGAGGACTCAGAGGCTTCCAGATTGAGGAAACAGGATCAGCTGAGGAAGTTGGCGAGGTGAGGTGGCTGTGGATTGTTCTGTTTCTCTAATCTTCCAGTATTCACCCCAATACCTGGCTCCAGTTTTGTTTTTATTAATAAGACCTTCTAACAATTTGTGCTACATGTATTATAGTTTAAACTATATGTATACTTATATACAGAATTACATCCGTCACAGGTATTTTTAGGTAGATAGTTAATAGTATAATTCCTTTAGACTTTTCCAGACATCCTTAATGTTATTTTACCCTCCTCCATCCTTCTTCAGTATTTTTTTTCACCCCCTGCTCTCTAGAGACCCCTGTCTTTCTGTGTCCTTGGTCAGGTCACTTGTACCCTAATATTCCTATCTCTACTGCTCCCATTCCTGCAATGATCTCCTTTTACATTCCTGGTTTCTGCAGTCACTGTAGGATATGGGCTCACATCTGAAGATTTGGAGCTAGGAGCCCGCAGTGAGAGAGAACATACAGCGTTTCTTTCTGGGTCTGGGTTACCTCACTCAATATGACCTTTTCTAGTTCCATCCAGCTTCCTGCAAAGTTCATGATTTCTTTTTTTGCTGACATCTGAATAGTATTCCACAGTGTACATGTACCACATTTTCATTTCACATGTGTGAGTTGAACGACATTTAGGTCATTTCTATTTCCTATCTACTGTAAACAGAGCATCGATGAACATGGCTAAGCCAATATCTGTAGTGTAAGATGCTGAGTCTTTTGGGCATATGCCAAAGCGTGGTATAGCTGGGTCATATAGTACATTTGCTTTTAGATTTTTGAGCATTCCCAACACCGATTTCCCGAGTAGCTAGTCAAATTTGCAATCCCCTCCACAGTGAAGGAGGGTTACCTCCCCACACCCCCCTAGCACTTGTAAGTTGTTTTATTGATCTCTACCCTTTGGACTAGAGAAAGATAAGGTATCAAAGTTGCTTCTATTTGCATCTCCATAATCAATAGGGGGAAATGGACATTTTTTTGAGATATTTCTTAGTCATTTTCCCCCCTTTGAGAACTCTGTATTCAGGTCCCAGGCACATTTTTTTTTCAATGGGTCATTTATTTGTTTGTTTTGACTCTCTTGGGTTCTTTGTCTATTCTGGCTAATAATCTCCTGACAAAATTTTCTCCCATGATGAGGGCTTCTTCTCTACCTGGTTGATTGTTTCTTTCTCTGTGCAGAAGCATTTTGGTTTTATGAAGCTCCTTTTGTCAGTTGTACATCTTAATTCTCGGGTAAGTGGGGTCCTGTTTGGGAAATCCTTTCCTACACCTCTATCCTGTAGAATACCGCCCACATTTTCTCCTAGCAGTTTCAGGTTTCATATGGAGTGTCTGGTCCATCTGGAATTAATTTTGTGTAAGGCAATAGATACAGGTCTAATTTCATTCTCCTGCGTGCCTACATCCAGTTTCCCCAGCTCCGTTTGTTGAAGATGTTTTCTTTTCCCCAGCATACAGTTTTAGCATTTTTGTCAAATATCGAATGGCTTGAGTTACATATACTCATGTTTGGGTCTTCAAGTTTATTCCATTGGTCTACACATCTGTTTTGGTGCCAATATCACATTGTTTTTATTGTCTTGGCCTTGTAATATGGCTTAAGATCCTCCGGCATTATTCTTTTTGCTTAGGATTGTTTTGACTAGCCTGGATCTTTTTTGGTTCCATATGCATTTTATGATATTTTTCTTTTTTCTAATTCTGTGAAGAATAAGGTAGGGATTTTGATTTGGATTGCATTGAATCTGTAAATAGCTTTTGGTAAGATGATAATTTTTATAATGTTAATTCTGCCAATCAATGGACATGGGATATCTTTCCATTTTCTACTATCTTTCTCTCTCTTTCTTCAGAGGTTTGATGTTTTTGTAATAGAGGTCTTTAGCTTCCTTGATTAGGTTTATTACTAGATATTTTATTTTATTTTTTTTTGAGGCTATTGTGACTAGGAGTATGTACATGATCTCCTCTGTACTTTCTGTTGTTGGTGTATAGAAAACCTACTGATTTGTGCAAATTGAATATGTATCCTGACACATTGCTGAATTTGTTTATCATTTCTATAACTGCTCTGGTAGAATTTTTGGCATCTCTAATGTATGCTATCTTGTCATCTGCAAATGGGGATAGTTTGACTTCTTTTCCAATTCATATCATTTTAATTTCCTTCTTTTGCCTTATTTTTTCCAGCTACTACTTCAAACACAGTACTGAAAAGGAGTGTGGACAGTGGACAACTACTTCCTTCCTGGCTCCACTGAGGTCGCTTCAAGACTTTCTCCACTTAGGATAGTGCACAGCTTTTATCACGTTGAGGTATGATCCCTCGAGCCAAAGGCTCTGGGACTTTTTACCATGAAGGCATGTTGGATTTTGTTAAAGGCTTTTTCTGCATCTATTGAGATGATCCTATGAATTTTGTCCTCAAAGACATCTATTTCAGTGAAAAAGCTGTTTGTCATGATCTAGGCTTGAAGCCCAACTCCATCTCTATATAAACACAAATAACGTTAAGTATAGTTTAAATATATGCAGAGTTTTCCATGAATGTAATATAAATAGAGAGAAGATTATTTTTACTTTTTTGGGAGTTAACCAGCATTTGTTAGTCATGTATCTTTGTCACTGTCCTATTGCTGTGAAGAGACACCATGACCACAGCAACTCTTATAAGAGAAGGCATTTAACTGGGGTCTTGCTCACAGTTTCAAAGGTTGGGCCCATTATATTTATGGCAGGTGCACGGCGGAACTCATGGTGCCGGAGCAGTAGCTGAGAGTTTGCGTCTTAATCCTCAGGCCAAGAAGGTAACACTGGGCCTCGTCTGTACTTTTGAAACCTCAAAGCCCATCCCCAGTGATACCCTTCCTCCATCAAGGCCACACCCCCTAATCTCACGTGGGCTCCTGGACTTGCCCTCTGTCAATTGACACATTCAGCTGAAGAGACCTTTATAGTCTACTTATCCGTTGATTCAGACTTCTGACTTCATTCTGTCTTCAAATGCTGACGTGTTTGGATCCTAGGCATTATTATTTTGTCATAAGTTTCCTTCATTTCATTTCTTCCTTAAACTAAAGTCATGGCATCATATTTCTTAAAAACATTACATTTTTGGTTGTGAGCCTAGCCTTTAATGGTTGAGCCATCTCTCCAGTTCTTAAAAAAAAAACATTACATGCCGGGCGGTGGTGGCACACGCCTTTAATCCCAGCACTCGGGAGGCAGAGGCAGGCGGATCTCTGTGAGTTCGAGGCCAGCCTGGGCTACCAAGTGAGTCCCAGGAAAGGTGCAAAACTACACAGAGAAACCCTGTCTTGAAAAATCAAAAAAAAAAAAAAAAAAAAACCATTACATGTGAAGGCAAGGTATACCCTCTGTGTGTGACTTTAATCTGAAAATCGTACAGGAGGCATTATCAAACACTTGCTTTAAACGGTGATGTGTCTGGAAGCATTTAGAAATGCCTGATGCAGATAGGATATAACAGCTTTCAAAGACAGAAGCAGAGTGGTTGGAGCAGGAGAATGACTACTTATCCCATGAACTTGCTCCCAAGGTCATTGGTAGAAAGAAAGGTAGGCTTAATATTGGAAGACAGATACCAGGTTTGCTAGAAGCTAGATGAGACTGAGATTTTCATAGGGCTCTAATAAAGAAAGTGATCTCAGGTCTCATGGCTTTAGAAAGACCTTTTTGCTTGTTAATGTTTGTTCTAATCTGTTCTAGAGTTTAGTAATGTATTTATGACCTCCCCAGATTATTTCAGTCAATGGCATTGAATCCAGATGTGTGAGGCAGCTGTGCTGTGCTCAGTTCTCAATCTCTGGCTTGCCTCCAATCTTGGCCAAATATTTCTTTCCTGAGTATCTTAGTCACTGTTCAGTTTCTGGGAAGAGAAGTTATGACCAATGTAATTCTTACAGAAGAAAGCATTTAATTGGGTCCTTACTTACAGTTTCAGAGGTTTGGTCCATTATTACCATGGCAGGGAGCATGGTGGCATGCATGGTGCTGGAGGAGTAGCTGGGGGCGACATCCTGAGCTGCAGGCCCAGAGAGTATCACTGGGTCTGGAGTGAGCTTCTGGGACCTCAAAGGCCACCCTCGATGACATGCTTCCTACAACAAGGCCACACCTCCTAATATTTCTCATCTTTCTCAAATAGGTCCACTCCCAGATGACTAAGCATTCCAACAGATGGGCCTATGGTGGCCATTTCTTATTCAAACTACCACACTGGGTTTGGTCTTATTGACTCTACTGGTGCTTGCTTTCACCAAAGTTCAGCTCCTGAATATTTTGACATTCTCTTCTACATAAAGGGAGACTTGCATAAATCCTTTTGGAGACCAATGCTCAGTGCTATCTCTAGTACTGACCAGAAGAAAGAATTTGGTTGTTCCTCTCAATTTGTAAAGAAGGAACCCAAAACAATGTGGGTCTTCAAATGCCTCCCACGCCTGATGAGACTCAGTCATCATGATGGACAGTGTGTTTTTCCCACCGAGGAAAGAAGTCGGTCAATCTGCTCATCCAGCCCCTTTTCATCAGTGTGAGTCTGAGGGGAACAGTTTGCTCTGCTCTCCCCCCAGTTCTCATCCCGGCCCAGCAGAGCTGTTAATCTTTTGCAGATAGTAAATCTGCTATTTGACTTTTCTGATGCCTCCCTTCTCCATCTCCGAGCGGTGCTGATAGAGGCCGTAAACTAACCAGTTGGCATTTTAAAAGCGCCCCCTTTTTTTTATTCCATCCTAAATTATATCTTTTCTGAAATGGATCTATCTTCCCTGGCTATAGAAGCTCTCCTTCCTTTTCAAAACGGCGCTGTCACACGCATAAGTATAGTTTAGCCCACTGAGAGACAGTGGCACGGTCGGACCTTCTCATGACTGCCACCAAACACCTTAGGAAAACATCCAGGAGAGGAAAAGTCACTTAGGCTGACAGACCTGAGTGTTTCAGAGGATGCTCCATCGTCTTAAGGCTATAGAGAGGTGGGAACACCCCTGTGTCAAGGCGACTCTGAAGGGAAGCTGCTCACCCCAGGGAAGCCAGGAAGCAGAGAGCTGGGAGAAGTAGCCAGGACAAGATACACCCTTTCAAATCACATCTCAAGTGACTTCTTTCCTCCAAATGAAGACATACATCCCAATCCCCACCAGCTTCCAGTAATGTTTCATATTGAGGGTCCATTCATAGATTAATCCATTGATAAGGTCAAGGTCCTCATGATCCAATCCCTTCACCAAAGCCTTACCCTGAACTTTGTGTTGAGGACTACACATTCACCACAAGAGCCTTCAGGGGCATTTCATACCCCGAACACAACCCTTAGCTTTGTATTCTCTCTACCATTTCGAAACAAGAGCCTCATGATGTTTTTGAAGCCACACAAACACTTGGACTTAAGAACATGCCTATTAGGGGCTCAAGAGAAACCAACCATGCCACTGTTGGAAGTATAATGGCAAAACGTAATGTAAATGCTTTACATGCATGGTTCTGTTCAAAGCAATAGACACACACACAGCGAGGTTTTAGATGTCTCTTGTCACCTTCCAATTAATGGCCATTTCTCCTTTGGTGACAGGGAACTCCCCCAGTGAAACAAAGGAGAGATCCTCTGTGGCCCTGTCTCACCCTGTGGCTTTGGACACCTGACTTAAGCAAATAATCAGATTCCTTCCACAGTACCCAGTTTGGAATTGTTGAGGCATACAAAGTAGGCACCACTTGGAGCTGGCCAGCATCACTGTCACCAAGGCTTTGCTGGCTGGTCCCTCATCCTTTCTGCAGGCTGCCTCTGCAGCCCTTCAGTGAATTGCATCTTTTACCTAACTTAGCAAGAGATCCTTTCTATCATTTGCAACCAGAAGAATGTTAACTAACATAGGGACCACGCAGAGAATAGCAATGTTGTGAAATATTTGCCACACTTAATGGCAGGGGAAGGAAGACAGAGAGCCCACGGGGAAGGAGGCCCACATATGGATCTATTGGTGACCTTGGCTTTCAAATGAAAAACTAGGAACCAAGTCTGACTGGTAGGAATGGGAGAATGGGAGAAATAGCATGATATATTTGAAAGCAGGATATCTACATATATGAATGATGCGTGGTGACATTGTAGGGAGTGTGCACAATGCACAGAGGAAGTGCACAGACCAGAAGAGTGATACAGGCCTTAACCAGCCACTCGAAAGTTAAAACAATACCAGAAAATCCATGCTGCCTCCCCAGGAGATAGTGCTGTCTTTCCCTGGTAACCTCAAACTCCACCTGCTCCCAGAAGCAAAGCAAGAACAGCACATTAATGAGGGTTCACCCTTACATTCACATGAACACCAACACCGGCTTCATATTCTTTCAAGAATGCCAGCTTACTTTCTGATGCTATTTGTTTGTTTTCAATGCAGTAGAAAAACTGCTTAGTGGACAGTTCTGGAGGTCACCGGCTCTGGCAGAGACAGGAAGGGGAGGATGAAGGAGACTCTCCGTCCTGCATGACTTGGCATGCACCTTTGCAGAGTGAAGGCAGCGTGGTTCCCTATGGCTAAGGGTACAGAGCCCTATCTAGGAGAATATTACTGCTTAGTTTCCAGGCCTCCTAAAAGAGTTAACATTTCTCCCAGTAACTCAGTGTAACAGAGTGCCAATATGTAAATGTAGCAGTATTTATGATTTGCTAGGTGATCCATTTGGGTTTATAAGTATACTGTTTCCAGTTCGATAGGTGATAATTTTGATTGGATTTATGCATCCAATAATCAACTGGGAAATACTTGTGATTCAATAAAATACATTATACTGCAGCATCCATTTCAGTAAGTAATGTCTTTGGGCTGCTGTGTACTACGAGGGAATTCATCACATTTTTTAAAAGAGGTCTATATCAAATTTTGAGGACAGTGTGTTTATCTCAGAACAAAGACAAACTATTGCCAGTACCCCAAGCTGGCTGGGTTGATCTGGTTTGCTGTAATGCAGTCACTTTGCAGTCTAATTCATGGAAGTGGTTGGTAAAATCTGAAGTGAAATGAAGATGCTCATACCCTTTGATCAAATGAAGGATGAACCAGTGAGTGCAAATGGACCGTTCACTGTTGCCCTAGCATCCTGGCTCCTTGTACTTCATGTAACTCAGAGAAAATCAGCAGATACAGCGGCAGCCGTAGTTGGCTAATGGAATATTCATTTTGCAAGCACTGGTGTGAGAAGAAAGCCACGAGAGAGCCTTTCCCACCCGCCTTCGGTGGGCTTGACAATGGAACCTTTTCTTGATGTCCTGGAAAGCGGCCTCCCTGAGTTCAGAGCCGCCTCTTCCCTGAATAGATATCATCACCGCTGGAGTGCTCACATGTGTCAGCGACATTTCCAGAGCAATGTGCAGGCAGATGCAAGTTGTCAGAATCTCTATAGCTTCCCCTCCTTGGTTTGCTTGGCACTTGCACAATAGCAAGGCTGTGCACTTGGGAGTTTTTACCCACTTCTCTGCAAGAGAACTACCTGTAAGATATTAATAGGCACCTGTGCTCCAAACACGTTCAAGAGCTTTTCGTGTGAAGTCATTTAATTCTCAAGGTAGCCCCACTAAGTGGATGCTATTATGAATAGCGCTTTACACCTGAGAGGAAAGCTGACTGGCCTAGGGTCTCCCAAACGGTGGAGGAGCTGTACGTTGAACAAATGACTCATTAAGCAGCTATTCAGATTAAAGCGTGCGTCAGTGGAACAAACCATGCACAACGGAATAAATACCATGCAGTTCTGCTCAGGTGGCACCGAGTGTCATCAGATTCATAGGGACAGAGGTAGATAGCAGCCTCCTCGTGTCTTAGGCTGTATGGCACGTTCGGTGATAGTGGAAAGCACTGGACACCCTTCAACTCACCAGGGGAAAAAGAAATTAAGAAAATGTGCTAAAGAGCTAGAAACACTACCCCAAAACAAAACAGACAAAAAACAGAAGGAGGAATGGCAATTGGATCACTCAGCAAGGTAGAACTGAGTTGGAAAAGGATTAAATGAAAGAAAACGGCAGAAGCAGTGAACTAGAAAAAGCTTTAAGCACATTGATCTATAACTCAAGACATATTGATCTGGAACTATTCTGATTCGAACAGATTCAAGTGATTGAGACGGGAGGGGGGACTTTTGACAAAAAGAAATGATCCGATCAGCTGTCACAAAGGGCAATGGCATGGGCATTTTGGCAAAAACTGAGTGTGTGTGGAGGGAAGCTGAGGAAGAAAGGGGATTATAATGATGGAGCAGAGTTTTAGCACGAATCTTACAGGGTCTTATTAATAAAATCAAACCCAGGAGCCAGTATTGGGGTGAATGCTGAATGATCAGAGAAACAGAACAAGCCACAGCCAACCTCACCTGGCCAACTTCTCAGCTGATCCTGTTTCCTCAGACTGGAAGCCTCTGTGTCCTTATTCAAATGGATCTCAGCTGAACTGCTTCTCAAAAGCTTGAAAGCTTAACCAGCTAAAAGCTTCTAGTTTCTGGTCTTCACGCCTTATATATCTTTCTGCTTTCTGCCATCACTCCCTGGGATTAAAGGCTCCCTTTCGGGATTAAAGGCATGAGTCACCATGCTTGGCTGTATCCTTGAACTCACAGAGATCCAGGTAGATCTCTGCCTCTGGAATGCTAGGATTAAAGGCGTGTGCTACCACTGCCTATCCTCTATGTTTAATATTGCAGCTTGTTCTGTTCTGTGACCCCAGATAAGTTTATTAGGGTGCACAATATTTCAGGGAACACAATACCTTAACACCTTTCCAGGAGTTAAGATCTAGACGTTAGGAAAAGTCATCTAGATCTTAACTCCTGGAAAGGGGTTGAGGATGTGGTCAAAGATGCTCTTGGAGGAGGTCAGCAGACCACAGCTCACAAGGCTGGTTGGGAAGAAGGGTGTGTCAGCAGAGTAGGCCAAATGGGTCCTCATGTCCTGAACTACTACACATTCTTAGGTCATCCTCATGACGTGAGACTAGACCCTGACAAAGGAGGGTTTGTAAGTTGAACCCAATGATGTATATGGTATTGCCTTCTGAAAATGGAAGTGTTATAAATATGCTGTGCCAGTATTAATTATGCTCATTCCTTGTATAGTATTATATTTAAATACTTGGAATTTCTAAATTACAATAATAAATTGATGTCTGTAATTCTTATCCCGAGGTAATTGGAAGCTTTGAAGTTGATCAAAGTGAATTCTTTCACCAAGGAACTGAGAATAGCCATGGTATGAGCAATTACAGAACCTATCTAAGTATATTTACTTGCTCTCTTTGCTTTGAACTGTATCCCACTTTCCTAAGTAGAGTTAGATCTGGGAGCCATGGAGAAGTCAGTATGATATTGTCTCTTATGGGAGAATCTGTCTTTTCTATGATATTAAATTAGTTTTATACTTTTAAGAATTTTTGATAACCTAAATTTTTGAGGAAATGTGAGTCTTCGCTCTGTAGTGCTTAGGATATGTAAAGGAGTAAACTGAGGAGAATGGATTTCCCTGGTTTTAGGAAGTACTGCCAGTCTGCAGCCCCCTAATCACTGGCACCAGCAGAGGAGAGCCAAGATGGAGATAATCCCACAGCCAATCAGGGAAAAACACACTGCTCTTTAGTTGGGGACTACATTCGATTAGTTTCTTTTCCTGCAGCCATTCTTTCTGATTGTGTGCTCTCTAAGATAGTGCTCAGAGTAGTTGGCTCCCCTTGGGCACACACGAATTTGTAATGGGAGAAATGGCCCAGGTAGGCTGGTGGGCAGTGGTTCACCAGCCTGGGATTAACCAGCAGCCACAGGAAATTGCTAGTGGGTACTGTATAGAAGGATCATTGAGGTTTCTTATTCTTAAGCATATATTTTGTGTTGGGAGCCAACTGTACAATGTCTATGATTTTTATGAGTGTGTGTGTGTGTGTGTGTGTGTGTGTGTGTGTGTGTGT